GAGCTGCCAAGGAGTACAGTAATTATAGGACCATTGCTTTAATTTCCCTTACAAGCAAAAAGATGCTCAAGATGTTGCAACAAAGGCCTTTACCTTATATGCAGCAAGAAATGACTGATGTTCAAGCTGGATTCTGAAAAGGTAGAGGCATTCGAGATCATATCGCACATATCCACTGGCTATGGAATACACCAAAGAATTTTAGAAAATCAGTGTATGCTTTATAGACTAAGAAAAGCCTTTGACTGTGTGGATCATGATAAACTATGGGTTGTTCTGAAAGAAATGGGTTTGTCTCAGCACTTGATTATCCTGATGCATAACTTGTATTATGGCCAAGAAGCTATCATTAGAAAAAAACAGAGAGAGAGAGACAGGGTTTTCCAGGTAGAGAATAGTGGCTTGTCATTCCCTTCTTCTGGGGGCATTTCTGGGACTATGCAGCTCACCTAAGGCCACACAGGCTGGCTCTACTAGCAGGACATACAGTGGGGGAACTGAAGTCCAAACCTCTGGCTCCACACCCAGACGCCTGTCCCACTGAGCTAGCCAGCCAGCCCTCAGTCACTCATTAATAAGGGTCACCATAAGTGACCTGATGGCACATAACAACAACAACAACAACAACATAAACAACAGCAACAAATAAAATTGCTGTATCAGACAGAGATGTCAGAGTCTATCTTGTTTATGTTTGGCAGCAGCCTGATCCTCAGAATTCAGGAGACTTTGAACAGAAGGATCATGTGCTGTTGTCTGCAGATCAAAGGAGTTTTAACAACATGGGAGCAGGATCTGACAATGGAGACCAGGAAGGGCATTTCTCTTGGCTCAGATGAGGAAGAAGTAGAGCTCCCCCCCCCCGACCCTTGTACCATCTAGTTTGAAACATTTCCTCATCATCACCTCTTTCATTATCTCCTCTTTCGTTTTCTTGCCAGTTTTCCAAGTGGTTGCTGCAGCTCTACTGAACCAAGGTTTCATCAGCAACACTTTCCCATGATGATGTTCTCTTACCACACAGTGGGAGGAATCATCTGGCAGATCCTGCTGTCAAGAAAAAGTAGCACACATGGCCCTTTGCTGATTTTGTTAAGACTGTGTGTTGTTTATTCTCATGGAAGGGAGAGGGCATGTCTGTATGCAAAGCCGTGCTTTATGGCCTCCTGGTCTGTTCCAGATGCCTAGTTCTTTCCCCATCAGACCTTGTGCTTTGCAAAGACCATATGAGTGGCCACATAAAAGGAGGACACGACTCCTGTACCTTTAATAATTGAGTTGAAGAGGAAATTTCAGCATGTATACCAAATCTACACAGTGTGCACCTGCTGAAATTCCATTTTCTGCACAACTATTAGGTACAGGACCGCTACTTCTTCTTGTATGGTCACCTGAAAACACTCATACCAGTGACCACTAGTGGGCAGTACTGCTGCTTTGCTTCCATTAATAATAACCATCATGTGTCATCAGGTCAATTCAGATGTATGGTGATCCTTCTCAGGGTTTTGCAGGTAGAGAAGACTCAGAAGTGGTTTCCCATTCCCTTTCTCTGGGGGCACATCCTGGGACTATGCAGCTTGCCCAAGGCCACCCAGGCTGGCTCTACAGTTACT